TCATGAGTTTGTAGGAATTCTGTTGGAACCCAGTTCTGATCAAGTACGAAGTTATTGAAATCGGCGCAGACGGACTTTACTCCGAAAGATGGTTTTTCGATTATAACTTTTCACAACATTTAAGTATAGACTTTTGAAAAAAGTACAGAATAGTCCTTATACTTTTGAATAATTCTGTTATTTCTGATTCACACGACTCTGATTTGTTTAATTAAAAAAAAAGTTTTAAAAACATTACTTAGGAACGTAACCGGAGCTGGGAACGTAACCGGAGCAGATCAGTTGAATTATATAATTTAAAAAAATAAAATATATGATTTAAAGCATATATATTATTTACAAACACATATGTCAGCTTACTTGGTGTGATAGAATTATAGAACACTGTCTATTAACGACTGAAAAGCAATGTTCTGTAGTTTAAATAGAAAAAATCATTCACTTTCTTACTTGCTTAATGACCCACGCCTAGGTTTATCGAAACAAAGATGGATAACAACTGGTTTTGCATAAAACAATAAACGGGCACTCACTCAAACATCTTACGTTTATATGGAGGGGGGGGTTAGGTGAAGAATTTCAGAAAGCATATGTTGATTCGATTTGGTCGAGCACATGACAAGTACTTAACACACCTACGCTATATACAGTTCGTTGTATCCTAACTTTTTTAATAATCTAGCATTTAAATGCTTTTATTTCCCCAGAAAAAGAGATGTTGTCTTAGAAATATAATACATGTATGTATAAACAGTATATATATACGAAATTAGTATAACAGAGTGGGTTCTAATAGTTCGCTAAACAAATACAATGGGTGAAATCAAATGGAATTATTTGCTTACTACATTTAATCACTTCATACTCCATACAATGATTGTTCTATGTTTGATAGCCTTTCTAAGGTAAGTGCACTTATGCATGGTAAATACCAAATTTAATTTTTCACAATGGATAAATTTTTTTCTTTAAATAAAATGTAATAAATACTCATTCGAACAATCCCGTATGTTTTTAAATTAGTGCTTTAAATCATATATTATAATTTTTTGTTAAATAATTCAACTGATCTGCTCCGGTTACGTTCCCAGCTCCGGTTACGTTCCTAAGTAATATTTTTAAAACTTTTTCTTAATTAAACAAATCAGAGTCGTGTGAATCAGAAATAACAGAATTATTCAAAAGTATAAGGACTATTCTTTACTTTTTTCAAAAGTCTATACTTGAATGTTGTGAAAAGTTATAATCGAAAAACCATCTTTCGGAGTAAAGTCCGTCTGCGCCGATTTCAATAACTTCGTACTTGATCAGAACTGGGTTCCAACAGAATTCCTACAAACTCATGAATGAAATAGTTATTGCATGGAATACTTACTTTTGTCAAAATCAAAATAGAACTCTAGTTAAAAAATATATTGTGCTAAATTATTGCCATTTCTTAGTAAAATGTCGTTCTCCGGTACGTTGCCAAAATTATTCGATGGTACCCCGTGACTATTTGCGTTTATCATGCTCTGTGTTACTATGGCAACCCCTTGACCAATCATATAACAGACTCACCATATTAAAGAATAACATCCGTATCCATGAGCCCTATAAATATAACTGTGACTGATTTTGTAAAATAACTGTTTTAGGACATTTTCACTGAAAAGTGCCACGCCAACTTTTGAGTAGATAGAGAGGTAGTCACCTAATAGAATAGAGTTCAGGGTCAAAGATATCATATAATTTATCACATTTATCATCTTATCTTATCAAACACTCCCAAAATATGTTTTTAGGGTAGTTTAATGTTCATTTTCAAATGATTTGAAGAGAAATGGCAACATCTGTTATTATAAGAAGCTTCAGATTTACCTGAAATATTTAAGATTTTGAGCAATTAAATTGTGTTGCTATGGTAACCAATTGACCAATTAATTTCAAAATTGTCGTGACAACTCACTATATATAGGCGCATGATCCCTGAAGATTTTATAGTGATTAGAGTTATGTAACAGAAATTATTAATGATTATCATATTACCCCCTCATAAAATTATCCCAAGGGGTATAAATGGCGATTTTGAGGTTTTCCACTACTTAGATTTTTCTAGATTTTTGATATGTTGTTTTACTTACCAATGGCTAATGATTACACTAGGTTTACTCTGTGTTGCAATTTTTTCATTTATTTGTGAAAATTTACAACGATTTTACTGGAGTAAATGAAAACATTAAAGGTTTGAAATGAAACTGAGAAACCAAGAACTGTTGACACATTGTTGTAACAAATGCTTTTTTTGGTCTCTTTTTAATTAGACCAAGATTTTCAACAGGAGACCTTTATTTTCAATAAGGGTGTGACATTTTTTGAGCAAAAACTGGAATTGATTTTTTAAATAAATTGTTGTCAATTATCCATGTCATATGTTTCAGCCTGTTGAATAAAAAGACCACCTTCCATAATATATTACGTAGTCTGCATTTTTTTATTGATTAATCTACCGGATAATAGGTGATACACCTGGGTTGAAAATTCTACCTTCTCTTTATTGTTTCACTCATTTCTATGCAAAAATTGTATATATGCAAAAATTGTATGAAATCTCAATTTTTGAGCATTTCTCTACAATTTAGAGTGATGCTTCCATGGCGGTCTCAATTTTTGCTTGTTTGTGTTCTCTTTCTTCATCTAATTGACATTTTGAAATTTGACCATCACCATAACATTTATTCTTGCGTTTCCAATATAATACAGCAGGGTGTGGCTTGATTAATTGTGAGTCATGCTGCTATAGTAGCAGATGTATTGAAAAACCTATACAGCTCATTTGTTAGATCATAATAATATTTATTCATCCTGGAATTTCCATCCAGGCTCTCCAGTTCATTATTGAGCATAAATGGTGCTATAAAGCTGATAATCAGATGTATTTCATAATAAAACAATTCATATCTTAATTATCCCATCGAACGAAGTTCGGAGGGATATAGGGAACGCCTCCGTCCGTCCGTCCGTCCGTCCGTCCGTCCGTCCGTACGTCCGTCCGTACGTACGTCCGTCCGTACGTACGTCCGTCCGTACGTACGTCCGTCCGTCCGTCTGTCCGTCCGTCCGGGCAATAACTCAAATACCGTTGGCCCGATTTTGTTCATATTTTGTACACATATACCCTATGAGAGTAGAAGTTCTGCTCGAAAGCCGATTTTCAAAATGGCCACTCATTTCAAAATGGCGGCCATTTTAGTGCCGTTTTTACAGTAATTTAGGTACAATATGTAATACTAAAATAGCAATATGTTTTAAATGTAAAAAATTATAAAGGACATTAATAATGCTACAAATGTAGATATTAAAGAAGCACATGGCAGCCATCTTGAAAAATGGCGGCCTTTACTCGTCATTTTACGATTTTTGCTGTAACTCAAAAAGTAGTGGAGCGATTTTGTTCATATTTGGTATGTGAATACTATAAGCATTGCACACTGTCTAAAGACACTTTTTGGTAGAAGGCGGCCATTTTGAAAAATGGCCGCCATTTTAACATATTTTACTATAACTCAAAAAGTAGTGGAGCGATTTTGTTCATGTTTGGTATGTGAATACTATAAGCATGGCACACTGTCCTATGACACTTTGGGTAGAAGGCGGCCATTTTGAAAAAAATTGAAAAATGGCCGCCATTTTAACATATTTTACTATAACTCGAAAAGTAGTGGTGCGATTTTGTTCATATTTGGTATGTGAATACTATAAGCATGGCACACTGTCCTATGACACTTTTGGTAGAAGGCGGCCATTTTGAAAAAAATTTTGAAAAATGGCTGCCATTTTAACATATTTTACTGTAACTCAAAAAAGTAGTGGAGCGATTTTGTTCATATTTGGTATGTGAATACTATAAGAATGGTACACTGTCCTATGACACTTTGGGTAGAAGGCGGCCATTTTGAAAAAAAATTTGAAAAATGGCCGCCATTTTAACATATTTTACTACAACTCGAAAAGTAGTGGAGTGATTTTGTTCATATTTGGTATGTGAATACTATAAGCGTGGCACGCTGTCTATTTCTAATGACACTTTTGGTAGAAGGCCATTTTGAAAATGGCCGCCATTTTAACGTATTTTACTATAACTCGAAAAGTAGTCGAGCGATTTTGTTCATATTTGATATGTGAATACTTTAAGCATGGCACATTGTCTAATTAAACTTTGGGGAGTAGTCGGCAATTTTGAAAAATGGCCACAATTTTTATGTGTGTTATTTTACAAGTACGTGTGCGATTTTTCATAAATTTTAGAGGTGGCTACTTAAAAGTATATTATTTCTTCTGATGACAACTTGGCAGTGAGCAACCATTTTGAAAATGGTGGCCTTTCTGGTGTGTTGTTTTATGATATTTGCTATATTCGTTTGTAAAAATGCCAGCCATTTCTGTTCGATGGGATTCGCTACGCTTTGGCGTTGCCGTTGTTCTGGTTATATAAGATAAAAGGAAATAGCAGTTAGTTACTCAAATCAATTTAGCTAATTGAATGGGCTCGGTTTAAAAATTATGTGAATCTGTAATATTTGTATTGATTTTATCTATTATAAATAGATTATTAAATGGATCTTTTAATATCTATTATAATGAATAATAAAATGAGTCATTTTAATTCATTTTGACATTATTAAAGTGATTCATATATTTTGGGTAAATGGTTTCTATTGTGAACGCCCCTTTAAAACAAATGCTTTATAAACTCTCTAATGTGATCAAATCTTTAAAACAAGCAGTTCTCTGTTTCAGACTCACCAATATGACCCTCCCCCCTCTGAGACAAATGCTTTATACATTCTCTAATGTAAACAAATCTCTAAAACAAACACTTCTCTAATTCAAGTACCCCTCTACAGTAACACAATGCTAGCATTATTACATTTATCTCTGAAATGATAATTTCTCAAAAGTGAAACCTCAAATGTAAAGATTCTGTACTTGTATTTTATGAATAATTTTATATATTTCAGATGAAGAGATTGTCGTGGCAACCACTCGTATAGAAACAATGCTTGGTGACACTGCAATAGCTGTCCACCCTGATGATGAGAGATACAAACATCTACATAACAAATACGTCATTCATCCATTCTGCAGTCGCAAGCTACAGATCATCACTGATGAGTTTGTGGATATCGCTTTTGGAACAGGTGAGCTAGAGAGGTGGTTAAAATGACAAATAGGCTTTTTAAGTTATTATACAGGGTGGGCAAAAAAAACAATACCCAACTTTAAATCAGGATAAAATAGTTACGTTCAATATGGTACATTGACTTATATATCATTTAAAAGTTTAAATATTTTCCAACAATTTGTCATAGTCAATAGTAAAGGTATATCATATTTATTTGTATAACGGCTAAGGATGAGTGCATAGTCCATATGTCCTGAATCGAGAAAGGAATAGTGCATTTTATTAATGTAGGTGGTCTACCTTGTACTCTATTGGTTCCGATTCATTATTCAATTAATCATACCTTCACCACTATTTAAAGCGGCACCAAAGACTAGAGAGTATTCAATGTTGGAAGCAATCTTCAGAAAAAGCAGTCCTGTCTTTCCCTCACAGTCCTTTTAATTTAAATGTTAATAAATGTAAATTAAAACCTTATCATGCATCTAATGTATCTCTCATAAGTATGTTTTTTTGTTTGATAAGTAAGGGTTTTGCTTAAAAATACTTGTGCTGCAAATATGTACCGTTATTTGAATTCATTGGGGACATTTTGCTTGTAGGTGCTGTAAAGATCACTCCTGCTCATGACCACAATGATTATGAAGTAGGCAAGAGACGCAATCTCACTGAGCTCACCATCATTGATGACAATGGAAAGATATGTGGCGATTGTGGACAGTTCACTGTGAGTTTCGGGAGTATTTTGTTTATAAATTGTATAAAATATTGTTTACAACTTAAGTGCTATAGAGGGAGTGGGATGTGACAAAGAATGTATACAAGGTTTACAATGGGGCCATCCTAATTCTTACTCTTAAAAAGAATTGTCATCTGATCAAATATATAGAAGTTATTAAGATTTGATATGCAGAAATATCCTCCTTTTCATTTTGTCATTTTTTGCCAGATAAAGAAGGTATGACATATAACATGGAATGATGAGAGCAAAACATTGTGAAATTGATGCAATAATCTTAACTTGTCTCTATCCCTTCCAGTTCCTTCAAATGATAGATGGGATTGAAGAATTGTATGGCTAGTTGGATAATATGCACAACAGTTTTACATTTGAGATAATCCAGGATATTTTTTAATATGAACATGGATCAAGGGAACTATAAATTGGCGGGAAATTGGAATGAATTTTTGGTCAATAAATATGACGTAAACTTTTTTTTTTTAAATTGTTTTGTAGCGCTTCAGTCCAGTTTTTATAACAGTTGAAAAAGGATCCAGGCAGGATCCAAAACGTCCTGTTTAGTAAAATAAAGGTTGTGAAAAGAAGAAAAAATAGTTTTGTATTTCAGGAAGGCCTAATGGTCCTATCTATTTACTTGTAGGGTATGAGAAGATTTGATGCTAGGAAGGCTGTTCTACAGGCCCTCAAGGAGAAAGGTCTCTACAGGGAGACTAAAGACAATCCTATGGTTGTACCCATGTGCAGGTATGTTGTATAGACTAAGGATATACCCTAGATGAATATTCTAAAGTAAGGTTAATTTTACGATATACTTAGAGCTACCGTGTTTTGTCATTGATATTCAGCAGTCATCATCCTTTAATGTATAACGTGCCGGTTGATAAATATTTGTCATCTTTATGCCTTATCGATAAAATTATATGAAAATGTAAATTCTGCACACAGATAAGAATGTAGAAAGTTTTTGTGTTTTCACTGTTCGATCCATTTCAGAAATGTTTAACATGTTTGTTTCAGTCGTTCCAAGGACATTATAGAGCCATTGCTTAAACCCCAGTGGTATGTCAACTGTACTGAGATGGCTAATGAAGCAGTTGATGTAAGTACTTATGATGCCTATTATTTGATGTAAGCATACTCATATGATATGGACCTTAGTGACATCTTTCGAAGTTGTGTCTGATATAATAGAGGATTTGCTATACTTGTATAGGTGGATAAATAGATGGCAATAGTAGTTTTGCTTGTATAATAATTCTCCTAATCTCATCAAGAACAAGACTTCAACTAGGTTTCAAAACAATATGGCAAACCTATATCAGATCGAAAACATAATGCATTATTTCAAATTAATGAACATATCACTTGTGGCTACGTATTTCATGTAAGTTTTCACTAAAGCAATAATTTCTACATAGATAATATAATATATTAGTGGTTTTATCATATTGAATCTCATTCAAGAATCAAAACCTGGAACCTCATCCAAAATAAGTCTGGTCCACTAATGTTTATACAATTTATGCAAATTCATGTTTTTCTATTTTCAGGCAGTGAAGCGTGGAGACTTGAAGGTCATTCCAGAGATGCACATTAAGACGTGGAATGCCTGGTTGACCAATTGTAGGGACTGGTGTATATCCCGTCAACTGTGGTGGGGCCACCGTGTACCTGCATACTTTGTGACAGTCAATGACCCTGCTGTGTCTGCTGGAGATGTACGTATTGATTCAAAAATTGATTGAGTAAACATTATATAAAAGGCACCCTTTAAAACTTCTCACACACTGTAAACACATACATGGCCAATACAAAAATATACATTTTATATTAAAGATAATTGAGATGAATATTTTCACTTTTTGTGAATTTTACATTGTGTATAAAGGGGCTATGTCAGAATATTAATGTATTCCACTAAAGCCATTAGATAAAGTGTAAACCTCCTTTTCTCCTAATGTTGAATGCATCCACATTATATTTGTCAGTACATCTATATGCAATATTATTTAGAAATTACGTTTTACATTACATGTTTTCTACCATTTAGGAGTGTGATGGACATTACTGGGTGAGTGGAAGGAATATAGAAGAAGCAACACAAAAGGCAGCAGATAGGTTCAATGTACCTAAAGAAAAGATCTCTCTCAGACAAGGTACATACATCTCTCTATGATAGGGTATTAAGGTGTTCAATTTGTTGAAAGAGCTTTGTAAATGTTCAATAGATGGCACTCACATCAATGACCTTATCTTACATGAAATGAATAGCTATTTTTATGAAATTAGAAATTGAAATGATAGAATTTAGATTTGATAATGGCGTGGAATCTTATATAATTATCATCTTGTACAATACAAATATGCAGAGTTCTCACTTGGCTTTTTAGCCTTCTTGCTCCAGAGTCTAATAGCTTTTCTGGAGTCTAATTTAACATTTTTTGTCACATTATTTGTGGTAAAACTATCTTGAGAAAATACATAAAACTGGATACAAAGAAGGAGTGGGAAGTTGGAAACCTTTTAGAAACATATATTGTGATTGAAATAGGAAGTTAATGTGAAGTAGTGTTTTGAAAATATTCTAATACTGGATATCTCTGATCTCACATGGGGAGGAGTAGTGATGCCGCGAAAAATCTGGGGTCTAAAAATTTCCTGGTGAGAACCCTGATATGATTAACAGAAGTTTAAACTAAAGACTGTCTGTAGAATCCATTAGCTAACTTCCAATTGAATCTTTCAATCTATATTTAGTATTGGACAAGTGCAGTAATTGTGTAATAATTGGTGAATTATAAATTAATAAATAAACTAACAAGCGACTTGAACACAATTGTTTATAGGTTACTGTGTAATAATGTTGTGATAGTGTATTGTATAATATTTAATCAATTGAATGTGATCTAGTTCCATGGGGGTTGGGCTAATAAGTGCATAATACTGCAACGCTATAGAGGAAATGTGCATTTACTGAAAAAGTTAATGGGATTTAGAAACAGCTTCAAAAAGCTTATGCTTTCTTATTTTTATAACTCAATATATAATATACATTTTGTATGTATGTGTATTTTTAGATGATGATGTCCTTGACACATGGTTCTCATCTGGAATCTTTCCATTCTCGATATTTGGGTGGCCAGATAAGGTAGTTAAAATATCATCAAGTTTACATCAATATTACATGTAGGACATGAATATACGATGACTTAACAATTTTGCATCATTGTTTTATTGTTCTGACAATTGGTGCAACCAGGTTGCATGTATGTTGCATTTATACATTTTCAACAGGGTACTGCCCCCAGTTGCTTTTAATGCCTGGGAGATCACATCATCATTGAGTGTTGATCAGCAAGATATTGTATGACATTGAACAAATGAGGTAACAATAAACTGATAAATTCTCATAACTTTTATTATGTCACCACAATAAGTTGTGGGACTCTATATATCGCCACCATTTTTGTGAAGTTGATCAGCATTTGGCATCTGTAACAAATTGTTATATTTTTCAAGTTTTGTAACCATTTGCATCTCTGCTTCAGACTGAAGACCTTGAAATGTTCTACCCTGGGTCTCTCCTGGAAACAGGACACGATATCTTGTTCTTCTGGGTTGCCCGTATGGTCATGATGGGATACAAGCTCATGGGCAAACTGCCTTTCAAAGAGGTAAGGAATCAAATATCTTCAGAGTGTGTCCAGTATACATGTCATCTTATTTCATACTGGTTCTTTATGTGCATTTATCTAGATACAAGGTTACCTTAATTCCATGCAGATAGATGAAGTAAGTTCCATGGTTCATATATTAATTGAATTAAAAATGGATTGACTGGACAAAAATTTCATGTAACCAAGTTCATATCATTGTAATATAAAAAGGAATACTATACGGTTTCTTTCTTTATATTTGTTTCTGGCAACTCCATTGAAAATCTGTACTAGACAGTTTTAATGGGTGTATTGTAATTGTTGATACCAATATCTCCATGAACATTCTTTTTTGCAGTACATTTTGTTTTCTTTTTCATGAGACAGCATGTAGTAATGACATTAAACGACACACTTCAGTTAAAATGTCAAAAAATTCTGGTGACATAAATCACTGAGTTTACATTAGTGGATTAGAAGAGTTAACTTTTTTATTATATGGTTGTGAAAGCCCATCGGTTTCCATCTTGTTTAGTTCAGTATAGTTCTAATATGTCATCACCAAAAGTGGTGACATATTGTTATGTTTTTTGTGACAGCAGTTGGTGGTTGGCATCCAGTGGTTGGTGCCTGTAACATATTCTTACAACTTCTAATAATTTAACAAATACTGTGTAGACTGACTTCAAATCTTTTAAAAATCATCTCCAAGTTCTCAGAAGTTCAAATCTGACTTTAGACACTCAATGACTATCTCAAGGTAAAAAAGGTCAAACAGTTTATTTTCAACTTGCTCAAAATTGACTAAATTCTTTTTTCACAATCATCTACAAGTCCTCAGAAGTTCAAATCTAAATTAAGATTTGAGATTTGAGACAAGGTCAAAAGGTCAAAAGGTATTTTTTCAACTTTGCCCAAATTGACCAATATTTTTTTTCAAAATCATCTACAAGTTCTCAGAAATTCAAATCTGATTTTTAGATTCAAGACTTGATCGTCAACGACCTTCTCAAGGTAGAAAAGGTCAAAAAGGTATTTTTTCTACTTGCCTCAAATTGACCAGTTTTTGCAAAATCTTCTACAAGTTCTCAGAAGTTTCATGGACTTAGGTTCAACTCATAATATTGTGAGCAACTAGGTGGTGACATTGCGTCGTGTTCATGCCTTGTTACAATTGCCAAGGTTATATTACCAGGATAAAACAAAAGCGTGAAAGTATTGACTTGACATCGTGAAAGTATTGACTTAACATCATGAAAGTATTGACTTGACATTTGTCATCAACTGCGCACATAATGAATTAATTGATAAATAGTCAATGTTGCTGGATGATTTTAATATTGGTATAATTTTGATATACACCCAGAACATACACCCAAATATTTATTTCCAAGATCAAATAGGGCACAATAATTGTACAATGTGTACAAACAGCAAGCCTTAGTATTATATATAGCTATTTGCAATTCCAATGGAATTTTGCGGTTACATCTAGTGTCCAATACCAACATAGGATGTTCTGTCAACACCTTCTTGACTTACCTATGATGCAATGATGCTAGTCGGGGTGATTTTCTTTTTATAGTTTATCAATGCACGTAGTACAATATTTATACGTTTTCTTAGAAAAAAGGTCATATGACCCACTGTCTACAATTTTGACACCAGTCAAAAGAAAAAGTAACACAAAGCTATTTATGTCAGCTTTGTAATCATACCAAAACTGCAGCATTCTTTCTTTTGAAAATCACATGAAGATTTTTGACAAATGGCTCTTATACAATTACCCATCTTTCTTATTTAAATACTGTTTTATTTCAAATAGTTAACATGGTTTGATTTGAAAATGTATAATTACTATATACATGTAATACAATAGAATTATTATTAGGTCAATTGTGGTTCTGACATACCAGGCGTTTATTCTGTGTGTTTACTTTGAATCAGATTGTGACCATGGATCTACTTTATTCTGACTAGACATACACAGTACACTTTTGAATGCGTTCCTCCACTCCAGGCTTTTCCAGCCATATATAACAGGGTTCACAAAACTGTTAGTGTAAACCAGTCCATGGAATATGTGCTCCATAGTGAAGATCCAGCCGATCTTTTGAAATACCATCAAGTCCCCTGTGACGTCTTCCGTTATGATCCGTGCAAGTGCTGTCAACATGAATGGTGTCCAGGCAACAGTAATCCAACCAATCAGGAGAAACATCATGAATGTTTTACTCCCTTCTTTTTTGACATTCTCAAGTTCTCCTTGGTTCAAATATGATTGCTTTTCTATAGCCTTCCTTTGTTTGCGAGCTACATGAAATATCTTGGCGTATAGGATTAATATGATTCCTATAGGTGAAACAACTAAAGGTAGTATCATACCGTAGAATCCTGCACGAGGCTGGATATCAAGAATCATGCATCGTATCCCATGGTACCATCTGTTCCAATATAGTATAGCTGAACCAACCGCAAGAAAAAATACCCAGATGGAAACCATGGTGACAATGATCCTGTTTTTCGTGACATACATGAAGTAATGCATCGGGTAGATGATCTTGATAAATCTCTCCGCTGATATCGCCATTAATGTGAATAGTGACACGCCAAATGATAAAGTAACGGTAAAGCCACAGAATAAACAATCCCAGTGGTCACTATGATAGCTATAACTAACCCAGTATTCTAAATATGCGCAGCAGATCAGATGAACGCCAACTAGAATGTCAGACGCGGCAAGGTTCAGGATGAAAGTGTTTGTCAGTGTTCGTAACTTGGGAGTCTTAATGAATGCAATCACGACCATGACGTTACTGAGGATGATCAGGACAGAGATTAAGATGTAATAGACGAAAATGACACATGAGGTCCTTCTATCCAAACCACTGATCATGATCTCAGACCAATTGTACGCCATTGTAGATATTTGTGTTAATCCGAATTATATTGTATTATCAGCTTTAATCCAATTTCTGTTCAATTTCTCTATCAATATCCCAATGTATCTTTGACTATTTTAGTAATAAATACATAAATGAATATCATCCTCCATTTTATGAAGTTTTTTTTTCAAGTTATTTCTCAATAGTTTAATACATTTTGTTTAATTTGTTTGCATTTTCCAAGCTTCGGCAATCAGTCCAAATCTAATTACAAGTTTTGTTTGGCATTTCCAAGCTTCTCTTCAAGTTTTTGTGAGATACAAAATTAGTTCTACTGATGTTAAGAGCTAATTGTTACAGTTTGTAAAACAAACAGTGCTGTCTCCTGTTTGGAATATCTGTGTATCTTTACCAGGCTTTCCATGTGATTCACCACAGATGGCATAAATTTCACCACTCTTGTTACCATAGCGATGTTAAGTCAATAAAACAATTGAGGCCACATCACATTAAATGTTTGCCGAAATGAAATAAGTAAGCTTGCCATGTATCTTTGTCCAAACATATATATCACTTCAAGTATTTATCTATTGAAAATATTTACCTTTTCCTCATTTTTCTTACAAGTGTGCCATCCAATAAGTTTCAGAACATATTTTCAAACTTCTCAATTCTTATATTTATGTTTCTAAATAAACAAATATATCTAATATGATCTGATGTCAGTAATGTATTGGAAACACAAATGTTTAAAAGCTTTGAAGCACTAAACTAACAAACTGGGCTGTTTCCATGTATCGTATCATCTTTCATATGTAATATTACGGAAGAATCACCAGTAGCAGCCACAATCCAATTACAATGTCAATAGGACATTGTATTTGCTTTGCTGTTCATGAATATTGATGAAATTTTTCTATTTATTTTTCTTTGGTACTTGAGATCATTTTATCAATATCTAATTTTGAAGAGGACAAAGTAAATTATTCAACCGAAATGTTGTGAGACTGAGTTTACTTAATTCTATATTTTGCCAACCTGATCACAGGGCTTCAAAATCCAGAATATATTCTTTCTTTTTACCCTCTGCGATAAGCAGTTAGCATTTCCCCGATTAAGAACTCGCAATCTGATTGGCTGTCGCAACACTGCGACAGAAATCATGAGGAAGTCATTGCGCATAATAAGATCACGTGATTCAGTTTAATCGGGCGCTTCCAAATTGGTTATAGCAGGGGGGAAGAAGGAGGTACGGATTCTGGACACCTGCTCAGGAGGATGATATTTTGCTTGTTTATAATTAATTTGTATCGGGAACAAGACTTACTGAAGAAATGAAGATATTGATAGCCATTGACATTGCTAACTTATTGATTTGAGAAATGAAGGATGAGTATCTTCTCTCTTTGTTTAGATTTCAAACTGACAAAAAATACCATCCCTGAGCATAAACAGCAAATCTCTCCTAAATCTCTCCAGCATAAACAGCAAATCTCTCCTATATACAAAGTAGTTGTAATTTATGAATGGGTCAGGATTAAATGCTTTTATTTATTTCATAAATAGAACCAAGCAGAATGTAGGCAATGAAGTAATTACCAGTTGATGTATTATTATTTTGGGAATAAATAATGATAGGCCATTCAATATTAGAAATTCATCACAAGTTGGACAGAATGTCATTCAAAGCACAAATTGAGTGCATTTTTACTGACATTCAGTCCCAAACGTATGGAATTTACCTTTTAATGTCATATTATTATTCTAACTCAAACATTAAGAAAGAATGAAGAAAACATTTTTCAAAGAATAAGATAGGGGCCTACCAAAGAGACATTTTGCTATCATTCTGTTGTCAAAATTCTCCACTGACCAGACAGAGCCCTGGATGTGGCATCTTAAGACAATACAGATTCTTGGATGAAGATTACATAATGAATGGTCATTCATCTATTGAGAATTCGAGAACAGCTATGCTGCAGTTTGATTGGTTGATATAGACTCTACAATATGGTCAATTGGTCATGTTTGAGTAATATTATTGAATAATATTATCCTCAGTATGTGTGTTTGTTTAGTGTGAATGACAGGGGTACAATCCATTATATTTAATTAAAACTGGGAAACAAAGGCTCCTTTATTTTGATAAGATGTTGATATAACTTGGAGATGTAATACAGTATTTCCAATACTTGCTATTATATGCTCCTAAGTCGATTGTTTCCATCTAGTTACCAGAATGAGTTGTTTCCTTAACAGCTTTGTGGAGGATCCTGTGCGAGAACAAGTTTCCTATTTAATACGTACCAAAATGTAAATTGAACTATGTAGACTTTATGTTGTTATGATGAGGATAAGAAAATGATGAACTCTTGGCTATCTTTGAACAATTCCATGGAATTTATGCCCATTGTTTTTTCACTAATTTGTGTTTTGAACAAGTTAATGCAAACAAAAAATGAAATTGTGTGTTATATGACACCAGTGGGAATTGGAAGCCACTACTCCTCGCTAATCCGGGCATATGCTGAACCACTGAGCTAGTGAGTTATCAGTATACCAGATTGAAATTTCAAATGGGTAAAATACCCCATATCATCCTCACACTGGTAAGGGTTTACACAGAGACATGAACAAAGATAACTGCAAAGTGGAATATTTCTGAAAGTGTAACACCTCAACAACACATGTTACAGTTTTCTGTAGAACCAAAGATGTTCCATTTCCAGAGGTTTTCTTGTATATGCATTTCTCATACCTTAATTTCTTGTATTTCTAGGTGTACTTGCATGCCATGGTGTGTGATGCTCATGGTAGGAAAATGAGCAAATCTCTTGGAAATGTCATAGATCCTCTTGATGTCATCACTGGGATACCACTAGAGGTAAAAGAACAACTTAACATTTTTATGACACTACCAAGAAGTGGTGACATATTGCTGTATTAAGGATTTTTTTTCAAATAAAAAAAGATTATGGATTTTTGAATGAAATTGAAATTATCCCAGGAAAACAGCTTATCCATTCAACTTTAGATTTTTAGGAAAGTAGGTCAGACTAATGCCAACATCTGATTAAGCTAAGTTCACACCAACGGCGCTTTGATGGCTCTAAAAAGCAAAGCGGCTTTGCATGCCGCTTTAAAGCGCAATCAAAGTGCCGTTGGTGTGAGCTTAGCTTTAGGTTTTAGGCATGCTGGTTATGGTTTAGAAAAAAGAAAAAATCTTAAAAACACAGATATTATTGTTGTTAAACTTATGCATGTCTTGTTCTGTAAACATAAATGATAAAGTTCTACATATTTTTTCAGGGCCTTCATAAACAACTATATCAGAGCAACCTTGACCCCAAGGAGATAGAAAGAGCAAAACAAGGACAGGTAAAATATGTGTTATTGTTTCATTAAAAGCTTCTCTCACAAAAGCGTGTTTATTGTAAGTTTTTTCAATGTAATAATGTACTAAGAAGAACAAATTAATTTAGTTTTGCAATATTTCAATTTATTTTTTAAATCTTTTTCAGTACTTTTTGAGTATTTAAAAGAAATGAATATAACGTTACTAAGTCTTCCTGTCAACTGAAATTGTAGATGCATTGTTTTTGCTATATTTGACATACTCAACTTTATAGAGATTCTGGAATGGAGTATTTTTGTAAAAGTTTGTTTGTTTTCAGAAAGAAGACTATCCTAATGGTATCCCTGAATGTGGGACTGATGCTCTTAGGTTTGCCCTTTGTGCTTACACATCACAAGGTACATATATGAAGGTTATGTTATGGGAGGTTTTGGATACAGGCTATATCCTGATGGAAATAGATGAGATATTGATTGGAACTTAAAATGAATATGAATACTGCATACATTAAGAGCATTGAACCAGACCCCTCTGACAATGTGTATGAGGTTTCCTGTTCAATTTGTAGTAACATATACAATGTATTGTATTCCAACAATTTAAATTCTCTCCAAGTGCAATATACATCTACTGTATAATATAAATATTTATATATTGCATATCATTACTATAATAGAATGCTTGTTGAAATTATAAAATGGTGCCCTCTATTCATAGATCTATATAGCATTACATACTGGAGTATCCGTTCATTTACATGTTCCTGTTTCTTAAAAAGCTCATTGAACATGATCAGCATCTGAAATATTTTGAAAGGCAATTTATTTCACAAATATATAGTTCAAATATATTGTAAAAGAAGAAGTATATGACTGCAAGAAATATAGTTCACTCTAAACACAAGTACGTGGCTTCAAAACATGATCCATCGAGGCCACATAGGGCCATGTATATGTCTTGATGTCGTTTCTCAAAAGTTCAAGAGTCTGTGATGATTACTAGAGCAAATCAGTTGTTTTTTAAGATGTTTGATATGTTATATCATAAAGATAATTGAAATAAGGGAATATGGATGTGAATATTTTTAAGGGACACACCCATGTTTAACTGTTTTAGGTCGAGATATCAATCTGGATGTTTTACGTGTACAAGGATATAGACATTTCTGTAACAAGATGTGGAATGCAACACGGTTTGCCCTGAACGGCCTTGGAGATAACTTCACACCCAATTCCACAATGCAGGTACGTTAGGCTCTTTATTAATAAGCTAGGTGCAAGTAGGTAGTGACCAGTCACGCCCAAATCCACAATGCAGGTACGTTAGGCTCTTTATCAATGAGCTAGGTGCAAATAGGTAGGGACCAGTCACAACAAATTCCACAATGCAGGTATAAACAAGGAAAGCTTATATGTAGATTTCAGGTATGATACGCAGATGCGAGTAGGTAGTTACCAGTTTCACCACCAGGTGGCTCGTTTAGGTCAGATAGCATGGGGGGTATAGTAGAAAGTTTCCTAAAAATGGAAACTACAAAAAGTCAAAATTTTCAACTCAAACAAAACTCTAGCTATTTAATATTAACACTATGTATTGTTTAATGTTTTTCAGATGTTTAAGGACCTTCATTAGTGTACTAGTGTCTAGAAATAAGATAATTAAGGACAAAATTTGGCATTTTTGATCATTTTCGCTTTCAGCAGTAACATATAGTTCCTTATATCTTGAGTTTAATGTTGACTGGTTGTTGCAATTTTGATTAAATCTGTGCTTGTACATGTCTTCTTCCATTTAAGATACAAAAAATGTATATTGGACCACCAATGGTCATATTAGAGCTTTCAGATCTCCCCTACCCCATTTATTATGAAAAATTACTGAAACATATGAAAATATAAAATAACTTGAATTTATAAACTTTAACAATGTTGTAGCTATTCTATATCAATATTATGTATTATTTAATGTTTTTCAGATATTTCAGAACCTTTATTGGTATACTAGTGCCTAGAAATGAGACATTTAAGGACAAAACTTGGCATTTTTTAAAATCATTTTAGCTTTCAGCAGTAACATATAGTTCCTCATATATTGAGTTTTATGCTTACTGGTTGTTGCAATTGTAATAAAATCTGTTTTTGTAGATGTCTTCTTCCATTTAAGGTATAGAAAATGTATAGTGGACCACCAATGGTCATATTAGAGCTTTCAGATCTCCCCTACCCCATTTATCATGAAAAATATAAGAAAAATATGAAAATATAAAATAACTTGAAACTATAAACTTTAATAAAGTTGTAGCTATTCTATATCAATATTATGTGTTATTTAATGTTTTTAAGATATTTCAGAACCTTTATTGGTAAACTAGTGCCTAGAAATGAGACATTTAAGGACAAAACATGGCTTTTTTGACCATTTTCGCTTTCAGCAATACCATATAGGTCCTTATATCTTGAGTTTAATGCTGACTAGTTGGTGCATTCTTAGTCAAATTTGTTCTTGTACATGTCTTCTTCCATTTAGGATATAGAAAATGTATATTGGACAACCAATGTTGATATTATAGCTTTCATGTCTCCCCTGCCCCATTTATGTAAATGAAAAAGTAATTTCAAATCATCAACTTTAACAAAATTGTAGCTATTCTCTATCGATACTATGTATTATTTAATTTGGCATTTTTAGCATTCTGCATTTAGCAGTAGCATATAATTTTCCACAATTATAATTCTTTGATGATAGATTCATATATGTTTTTTATTGAATCGGTCTTCTCTGATTTAACTTAAAGAAAATGTATGTAAGACAATGAATGTTTTTATTAGAGGTCTAAGATCTGCCCTCCACCATTAAATGAGAAAACCAACACAAATGTTATTATTGCATGATAATATTCTTAAACTTTTCAAAAGTTTAGCATATTTATTAGCACACTAAAATCAAAAAATGACACATAAATGGGGAAAATGACCAATGTTTCACTTTCAGCAATAGTTGTTTATATTTTTAGTTGAATGGTGATTAGTTGACATATTTTAGATCATATATATTCAACAATGTGTCTTGTTATCTTCAAAGCATGGAAAATGTGTTTTAAACACAAATATACATATTAGAGATAAAATTACTACACTACTATATTTTTAAAAGATTACTCAAAAATAGCATAGTGCGAAATAATTTTGTAATTTCGCAGTTTACTCTCATATGAATCAAAGGATATGTCTTTATATAGACATGATTGTTCACAACTCTCGAACTTAATCCAGCAACAGCCTGATTTTTCAAATCTCCCTGGTTCTATGTTAGAGCTGCATTTAAGTCATTTTAAAGGTAACTGGTCAACTGGTACCCAAGACAAGTCGTACCCAAGCATATATTTTGTTTTGAATCAAGTGTTGGACTGGGAATGTGTAAAGATATACATATTATAACTGTAACATACTGTTCAGAAGTTTGAAGAATTTTCAGAAGAAATTGATAAAATTGATGAAATTTTGTAACATTTTGAGCTTTGAGTGTCAATTTATTTTGACTATTATTTAATATTGGATGTTCGAGTGAAGAGATATATGTTTATTCCACATATTCATAATCATTTTTTAAAATATTGTATGTTTATGAGTGTTTGGAACAAGTGTCAGATTTAATTCATCTTGGAAGATGGTATTATTATAAATGTATTGATTCATCAAATCTTGGGCCTAATTTCTTATTAAACAGATAATCTATTTGTCTAGGATTTCATATTATCAGAAGTCATATTCATGAAATTTAGCAATAAAATATTTTGAATAATATAATAATAGTATACAAGTAATAATATAGTATAATATTAATATCAAATATTATTTTGGTACTTATTCATACATGATATATTATTACACTTAGTATGCATGTGCATAATCCAATTTAGTTCCAATTGGAAAAAAATTAACAGATTAAACTTCCTTTAAAATTTCTCAAAATGCTCAAATTAATTGTTTGATTCATTTGTAGAAAAGTCACTGTTGTAATTATATTTATTTATATATATGTTTGACAAAAAATGTTGTGAACAAGCACTTCAAGCACTTGTTTTATTAGTAAAAAGGTGATTCAAGTTAAATCAAAATGCTTTATACCCATTGAGAAAAAATGTCTTCTAAATTCAAAAAAATATTGAGGCTTATTTGAGTCACATTATAACATGAAAACATAATTATACAAACTCAATTTGTTTTCCTAATATGCACCCATAATACTGGAAATAACTTGGGTACGAGTTGTCTTGGGTACCAGTTATCTTGGGTACGAGTTGTCTTGGGTACCAGTTATCTTGGGTACGACTTGTCTTGGGTACCAGTTGTCTTGGGTACGACTTGTCTTGGGTACCAGTTGACTAGAAAGCATTTTAAAGGTCTAAGTTGCTCATGACACCACAAGCTATTCAGATATGTAAGATCTCTAAATAATTTTTATAGTTCTGAGAAACTCATCCTTAAATATTGTCCAACGATGTGCACTATGTTGTTTATTGCCACATGGACAAGTAGCAATACACCCTTGACTAGAAACTTTGTATAGCAATTTTCGCTGCCTTTTGCCATTTTACATTTGCGAATTGCCAAGGACATATGTTTCTTGTGTTGCTACGAAGGTTTGTTTGTGAGTACTGGTACAAGACACCCATCTTTGATATATCTTCAAATAGGTATTGCACTTTGAGATTCATATAGTAATTTAGAATGCTACCTTGAAGGACATAAGAAACTTTAAGAGCTCTTTTTAACTCTCATCCTTCTTTGCAAGCAACATTCTGTATCATCAGACTGAATACAAATTCTCTCAACATTGAACTCCTTTGTCTTGTCTGCAGCACTGTAATAAACATGGGCCATAAGGAGAGTGTCAACTTCTTCATGATCAGTATTTGATAGATAAGTTGCAACTATCAGTTTTGCAAAGTTCAATAGCAGCTCTGCCATAAGTGAAATTTATCCCATTTTAGAGATACAGTAACATTGCTTCACAAACCAAAGACAGCTTTACCATTTTGTAATCCTTTCCAAAATCATCTTGTTGGCTGTTCTTCATTTCACAATGTTTACATTTACCAAAATATCCCCAAGCCCAATATCTATCATGAACTTCCTAATTACACCACCCTTAGGTGTAATATGGAAATCACCAAGCATTTGACAACATTGCATTTGATATGAGGGAATTCAACCAATATGGCTTGATCACTGGTTATAATTATCACAGTACTATACCCCATTATTTTTAAATATATTCCAAGTATTGTACTATACATTGCATAGATTCATGAGCAGTTTGCAACATATCATAACCAGAAAAGCCCAATGGACAAAGATAGAGAATACCCGCCCCATTTGCAACTCAACTTTAAATGTCTAATTTTTAGACTTGTATACTCATGAAGTTCCTGACACATCTGAAAAATATCAAATAATACATAGTATTGATCTAGAATAGCGACAACTTTGTTAAAGTCTATACTTTGAAATTGTTTGGTTTTTATATTTCTGGTTATTTTTTCAAAATAAATGGGGTATGGGAGATATGTAAGCTCTAATATAATGACAGGCTTTCCAATATACATTTTTAAATACCTTAAATCAAAGTAGGCAGGCAAAAGAACAGATTTGATCAAGAATCCATCAACCAATCAGCATAAAACTCAAGATATAAGGAACTATATGTTATTGCTAACAGTGGAAATGATGAAAAATGCCAAATTTTGTTCTTAAATGTCTAATTTCTCTACACTAGAATACTAATGAAGGTCCTGAAACATTAATTATAGCAATCAATAACACATAAAGAATAGTTACATCTTTGTTAAAGTTTATAATGGTAGTTTGAAGTTATTTTTTATATTTTCCAGTCATCTTCCCTAATAAATGGGGTAGGGGAGAACTGAAAGCTCTAATATGAACATTGTTTGTCTACTATACATTTTCAGTACCTTAAATGGAATAAAACATGTACAAGAACAGATTTAATCCAAAATGTATCAACCAGTCAGCATAAAACTCAAGATATGAGGATCTATATGTTACTGCTGAAAGCAGCATTGATTAAAAAATGCCAAGTTTTGTCCTTAAATGTCTCATTTCTAGCCACTTGAATACCAATAAAAGTTCTGAAAAATCTTAAAAATATTAAATAACACATAATATTGATAATAGAATAGCTACAACTTTATGAAAGTCTATAATTTCAAGTTATTTTATTT